AAACAAAAAGTATCACGTTTTAAAATACGATTTACACTATAGACATATTTTCAATGACTGAAGCTGATTCACTTACAGTATTCACTGCTCACTATGTAAGGGACCTCCACTAGGTTGCTAGAGTTTCTCTTCCAGAAACAGTTGTTGTTTAAGCAGTAGAGAGCATTTTTAGTTTTGGGAAACACCACATCTCCTTCAATCAGGTGTTCGGCAGATCCTGTAATTACGTTATTAAGTAATTAACGTTCAACCACATTTTAAATATATTCCCTGATTTTGTGAAACCCTTTAAAGGAATCTGCAAGATGCCTGACCCTTGTTGGTCTCCAAAAACTTTGTAGTGACATCCACATTTCCAGGTATGGGTAGGAATGCATTAGGAGGGCCAGGCTTCTAATTATGAGAAAGAAAGAAAAAAAAACAGTTATATTATTCTTACAATGAAAGTGCATCATCCCAGTGTATTGAGAGACTAGTCTAGAGTCTTACCCTGACAGGATTCGCCAAAGAGATGCCAACCAACAGCACCAGAATGGAGAGGGAGGCTCTTGGGTCCATGTTGTCTCCGTGTGTAGAGATGTTCAGGATGCTGCTGTGCTGAAATCTGGTGTCTGCAAGCTGTTGAATCTGAACTTTATATTCACCTATGTAGGTGGGTCAACCAGGCGTTGAGACTCTGATTGTAAAGGAAGGAGTGTCTGAACTCACCTGTTAATCCAAGAACTTGCACTACCAGAGACGGCACAGATTGTTTTACTAATCCACTGAAATTAACAAATGTAATTTTTTAATTGCATGATAAGACCCAAAACTGTGGTAAACAGGGAGTGCAGGCAAAACTTTAAGTGCTTTCTCAAGACAGTACAAAAAAAAAAAAAATGCATCTGTCATGTGTGTCGTCATGAATTGGGGAGTAGAGGTCATAGTCCAGCTCATAATGATTTAGTATTTAGAACCAACTAACTGTACTCTTTTATTATATCATTTATTCCTATATTCCTTTAGTCCTAACCACTTTAATACGTCTTTTCCAAGCAAAGGGTACAGTAGCTCATTTCTTGGTAAATATTCACAATAGAATCCAAGTTACTTTTGCAAAAAAGTAACATTTATAACTTTCCTTTTTTTTTTTTTTTTTACTTCAAAACTTTTTATTGGTATTTTGTGTGACAATACAGATTGGTATAATGACAACAAGGTAAACAATAAGATATTGTCCATTATTAATCCCTTCCACGATCCCCCCATTCATATTAACTCAGATGGACAGAGAAACAATGATAAAAACCCCATCAATAAATGAATAATAGCAAGTAAAACAAAATAGATATAAGTAACTAATAAATACGTTTAAAAAAGTCCCTTCTAACAGATGACAAATATTACATGTTGCCAGTTGCAGGCGCACAAGGTAGGCCTTTAATATTTTCCAAAAATGGATCCCGAGTCTTATAAAAGGATTTAAGTAAGCCAGAGAGTGAACATCTTAAACAGTAGAAAATATCCTGTATCCATCTGTCACGTGTCGGGGGTGAAGTGTGCTTCCACTTAAAGGGATACTCCACCCCCAAATGAAAATTTTGTCATTAATCACTTACTCCCATATCGTTCCAAACCCCTAAAAGCGTTGTTCATCTTCGGAACACAATTTAAGATATTTTGGATGAAAACAAGGAGGCTTGTGACTGTCCGATTGACTGCCAAGTAAATTACACTGTCAAGGTTCAGAAAAGTATGAAAGACATCGTCAGAATAGTCCATCTGCCATCAGTGGTTCAACCATAAAGTTATGAAGCGACGAGAATACTTTTTGTATGCGAAGAAAACAAAAATAACGACTTTATTCAACTATTCGTCTCCTCTGGGTCTCTCTGCATCACCGTAGCACCATTTTGGAGAATATCCGCTGGACGCAAGCAGCGTACGAAGAAAACAAAAATAATGACTTTATTCAACAATTCGTCTCCTCTGTGTCTCTCCGCATCACCGTAGCGCTATTTTGGAGAATAACCACTGAACGCAAGCAGCGTACCCTCCTCTGTGTCAGCTGCAAAACAAGGATACGTTTTCTACGTGTATTTATGCATATTTAACATTACGCTTTGATTTGAACGAAAAAAGCGCATCCGTGCATCGCGGCTGACACAGAAGAGCGTACACTGCTTGCGTTCTTAAAAGTAAAAGTATTCTCGTCGCTTCATAAAGTTACGGTTGAACCACTGATGACAGATGGGCTATTCTGACGATGTCTTTCATACTTTTCTGGGCCTTGACAGTGTAATTTACTTGGCAGTCAGTGGGATAGTCACAAGCCTCCCGGTTTTCATCCAAAATATCTTAAATTGTGTTCCGAAGACGAACAAAGCTTTTACGGGTTTGGAATGACATGGGGGTAAGTCATTAATGACAAAATTTTCATTTTGGGGTGGAGCTCATCTGGCCAAGATCGTAGTAAAAGCAACAACTTCACTATCTCGGGCTGTCAGACCAGGTCTAAGGGATACCTAAAAAAGGGCTAACAAGGGATCAGGGTCTATATTAGTGTTGAGAGCTTTTTTAAGTGTATCATATACACTTAACCAGAAAGTTGCCATCTGTGGACACGTCCAAAACATATGCAGATGATCAGCAGGTGAAAGCTTGCAGCGGTTACAGGCAGCGCTCCTGTCTGGGAAAATTGTTTCCATTGGGCATTGGTGAAGTGAGCTGCATTAAACCATGCCTAGCACATAAAGAACAGGAGTGTACCTGGCTCAAGATGTTATGCCATAGATCCTCTGTTATAGTAACTCCTAGGTTGTGCTCCCAGGTATCTTTAAGAGTGTCAGTAGGGTCCACATTAATTGAATTTATTAAATTATAAATGACTGAGATTAGATGCTTATGGTTGATATTCAAATCAAGAAAATGGTCAATGTGCGTTTCAGGAAGACGTTTAGGAAAGTGAGGGAACTGCTTCTGTATAAAGTGTTTGATTTGGAAGAACCAAAATAAGTGATGACTGGGTAAATTATACATTTTAGATAAGGAGAAAGCCTTTTTTTATTTTTTTTTAGGCTAATACAAGATGATGTAGTATGCGTGAGTATGATGTGTATTTTAGTATGTGTCATGCTCAGCCCACTCCGAGACTTACATTTTAAAAACGTCATAATGCATTTAAAAAGAAAATAAATCTAAGTGATTTAGTGGAATCCAGTTGTACTTGTTATTTGTGACAAAAAAAAAAAAGAAAATCTGGGCGTTGACCAAGAGTAACGGATGATTTGCTCTGCCCTGGAGCTTAAATGTGTGTCTGCAATAAGCTTTGTTTTGTTATGACAATCAGCGCACACCGTTTCATGCTAACATACGTAATTGCTCCCCATCTATGTCAGAGGACAGAAGAAAGGCTAAGGAAACGTGTCTTCTGATCATTTATGAAATCAGACATTTCATTTTAAAGAGAAAAAAAACAATTTTTACTGCATGTTCATTTTTTTTTATTAACTTGATTTTTCCTTAGCCACATATTACTGAAATTTAACACCAACAAAAGACCATCACCTCATTTGATTCTTAATTTACGGGAATGTGAACTACATTAAATTATCTGACACACCACATACATATAAAACTCATCTTTAGCATCCATACAGCTTGTTGATCCTCAGGATGTCAGTGTTGGACATTCCCTGCCTCTGTCCAATTTCCACCGTCTCATCAGGAATGGGAGTGATGGTTTCCAGCCCGGGCTGGATGGAGAAGGCAGTTCTTCCATAGTGCATGATGGAGCCATAGTCGTATGGAGTGTTTTGGTTGTTGGTGTTTTGTTTCTGGAAGTTGTAGGCCGTATCAGGAGAGATGTTCTCCCAGTTGATCTTGACGTACTTGTCGCGATCGCTCCTGGTTTGCTCGTGGTTGAAGCCCAGGGCATGATTGAGCTCATGCTGAACGATGCCGTGATACACACAGCCGTTCCTGTTGAGGGAGACCACCTGTTTGCCACCAGTTCTACCAAGAGAAGAGAAGCACCTGAGAGCAGAGAGGAAATAAAGAGCTTAAATATATATAAAAAAAATTGGACTTTGGACAAAGGCCTTATGAATGTTTCTTGTTAATATTGTATGATTGTTCTCACCCATCTTTGTTCTCAATACTGATGTAGTCGCTCTGAGTTGATCTGGCCACAAAGCGGATGCAGGTTTTGGAGTGAAAGGTGGACATGGCATTTGCGATAACTAATTTGTTATTATAGGCTGTAAACAAAAAGGGCCACAGATTTAAAATGAGATCTACATGAATCATAGATTTGTTCAATGATTGAAGGACATTCACTCACAGAATTCACCGCTCACTATGTAAGGGATCTCCACTATGTTGTTAGAGTTTTTCTTCCAGAAACAGTTGTTGTTTAAGCAGTAGAGAGCATTTCTGGTTTTGGGAAACACCAGATCTCCTTCAATCAAGACTTCAGAAGATCCTGTATTTAAAGTGAAACATACTGATTAAATAACTGAAAATATTTGTAAGTCTTGTTAACATTTTTCCACTATTTTGTGAAACTCATTGATGGCTTTACTGAGTTGATCTGGCCACAAAGCGGATGCAGGTTTTGGAGTGAAAGGTGGACATGGCGTTCGCAATCACTGATTTCTCATAATAAGCTGCAAACGAAAGGGGCCACAGCTTTACAATTTGATTTACATGAATGATATATATGTTCAATGAATGAAGGAGATTCACTCACAGAATTCACTGCTCACTGTACTGGATAGGAAAGTAAAAACCAAACCCTGGACCATCAATGTGTGAAGAAAAACATCAGATTATTCAAACTCTGTAATGCCTCACTTAAACAAGCCGTCACTTCCTTTTCATTGAGACTTTGAGCTCATAAACTGGATATCAGGTCAAACTCTTAACCTCAATTTACATGTCGGGGACTTCTACCTTCTTTAATATTTTTATTATGCAGTTAGTGTTTTATAAAAGCAATAAGGAACTTGCTTAGTCAATTGTAGGATGTAGATTAATTCACATTTATTATAATAGCTGTTAAAGCAAAGCCTAAATGTCAAGTGAACTGATTTATGTGAGATGAAATTAAGATGTGTTAATCATAAGCGTGAATAACTATAAATTGTTCTTGATACATGATTGCATGCAGAGCTTCTTTTGTTTGTTTTTTTAGTAGATTACTTATCGTTCAGCAAACAGCTGATAATAACTGATGTTAAATCAGGTCTTGTGTCTACATAAATATAATAAATGTTGTGTGATTTGATAAGAGCAACTCGATAGCTTTAAATCAGAATAATGTTTTCATATGTTCAGAGCCCACGGCTGAGCCGGTCCAGAAGTTGATCCACTTTGTGCAACCTACCGAAAACAAAATTATATTAATATATTTCAATTATGACAATCAAATAATAAGGATTAAATGATTTTTTACCACATTTATATTTATTAAGTATTTGTTTAATCTAGATTTGGACTCAAAAAAATGGGTTAATGTAACTCGCGTACCATCTTTGTGAAGTGTGTGGCACAGGCCAGACATGCCCGCTCTGGGGTCGCAGGGCTGTTCAGCTGGAAGGGGCCGGTTAAATCTGCATCTTTTCGAGCTGCAGTCACAGCGTCTTTAATAGCGAAGAATACACAACTGCCCAGAAAAACAGTCGGCTCTCCGATTCCCTAAAACAAGAGGATGAGAATGCTTTAGTTTGCAGTGATTTTACGAAAAATCATAACTAGGGTGCAGTATTAGGTTTGAATGCAATTAGATGTGAAGTAAACCACAAGGATTCCACAAAATCAAAATAAATGGACTCTAAAGTGACCTGAAAGTATAGTACAGTAGCAGATATCTATAATAAGGAGAAGATGAGTGAATCACCTTTGATGAATAGATGGCGTGAGGGTTGGATGAGCCGGCTAAAAGGTAGACGTTAAACTTCAGAGGGACATCACAGAAGGACGGGATCTTGTACTGGCCTGGTCCACGTGTGTACAGAACACCAGACGGAGAAAACTTGAGCTCCTCCATGGTGTAGAGACCCAGACCCTGCATGAATGCTCCCTCAATCTAACACAGACATACATATTATATGAGTAAATGCATATACGTATATGCAAGTAGTCTCTCATCCTCACCGAGGCAGCATTTATTTTAACAAAAATACAGTAAATGCTGTAATATTGCAAAATATTACTACAATTTAAATAAACTGTTTTCCATTTGATCCCAGCTGTGTGACGTCCCTCCTCAGCTTAATGTCCATCTGCTGAGGAACGCAGACAATCCTCATGCCATCTACTCCTCAAAGGTAAGACAAAAAACCCTGAATGCCAACACAGCAAGTTGAAATAAAATCAAAGCTGTTTTAAGTAAAAATAAATAGCAAATAACTAGTAATATTTACCTTTCAGTGATAATTGCAGACATAACAATCACCAAAAGTTACGTCTAGGCTTCTATTATTGCGAAACTCTTCAGGTCAGGCCGGTTCACGCCAGACTTCAATCGTTTGAGCACATTAAACGACATTTGCAACCTCTTTTACTTCAGTAATCCGACATTCTGAACAAAACAAGATATTTATGCACAGAGTAATTTTAATTTCGGATGAAATATTAGTTATAAAGGTATTCTTTGTTTTTTTTTAGGGGATCGGGGAGCCGTCTGTGTTTTTCGGCTGCACTTTGTTCTTTGCCATTAAAGAAGCGATAGCAGCTGCACGGAGAGAGAGAGGCCTGAGCGACAGTTTCCCTTTCTCTTCTCCTGCTACTGCGGAAAAGATACGTATAGCCTGTGAAGACTGCTTTACAAGGATGGTGGGTGAACAGTGTTAATACAGTAAATTCATATTCTTAATTATAACAAAAAAGTTTTTATTTAATATATCATAATACCACTATAATCTAATACATTTAATAGATACGATTTTATTTGTTATATTATTATACATTATTTCAGGTTTATCGGTTTTGGCTCCTAAAAATAAATTTACAAGTTTATCGTTTAAATATCACTCTTTCTTACAGATTCCACTGGATAGGAAAGTAAAAACCAAACCCTGGACCATCAATGTGTGAAGAAAAACATCAGATTATTCAAACTCTGTAATGCCTCACTTAAACAAGCCGTCACTTCCTTTTCCATTTTTTTTTTTTTTTTTTCTGTGATAGCAAAAGCAGAATTTTCAGCAGCCATTACTTGAGTCACATGATCCTTCAGAAATCATTCTAATATGATTAGGTGCTCAGGAAACAGTTCTTATTGTTATCAATGTTGAAAACATCTTAATATTTTTTGTGGAAAACAAAATAAATTGTAAGCAATTTTCTAAGGTAGTGTATATGGGTCAATATCCCATATGTAATGTAATGTAATGTAATATAATATAATATAATAAATAGCCCATATGTATAATATAATATAATAAATTAAACAATAATAAAATGCTAAACAAAATTATTATAATGTTTACATTTAATAAAATTGATGACAATTAGGAACAAAAGATATTACAATTATTAAAAATACATATATTTTGCTCAATTTACTCTTGGACCTGACACAAGGGGGAGCTAACACTTCTGTTACTGGGCAATGGTGATTAATAAAAAGAAATATTGGCTAATAATCAGACATATTTATTAATCACTGGTGTATAGATTATATATTTTGCTATTAAATAAAAATTAATTTCTATTAAGAGAGGAAACATCGTAGAGATCATCTTACCTGACCAATGTCAATGGACGGATTTATACTTCTGCCGATATCAACAACAATATCAGTCCTCAAGGTCTATGAAGAAAATATATAGTATGTCAGATGAGTTTTACAGTGACTAGACAAATAGCAGAAAATGTACATGCCACAAATCTTCTGCATCATATCTGGATTTACCCTGTACTCTCCAGTCAAACAGTCCAGCTCAACCTCACTGCAGCCCACCGCATATGTGAAGTAAGCGTACGGCTTGCCTTCCTGCTTCTCCCAGTCCATGTCTAGATCGTGACCTCTGAAAACAGACAAAACTCACTAAGCATAAAACAAAACCTCCATGTTTTGTGTAGTTTTAAGCCTTTGTTTGCTTCTTTGATGATGCACTGAAGATCACACTGTTGACAAACAACTACCACTTTAATGTCTCAAAGTACATTTAAAAAACAAAAACGCTCCTTTTAAATGAAATTTGGGTGATTTACCTGTAGTATCCTGTGGCTGACAGACTGATCTTCTCCAAAAATGCTGTTGTTATCTTTAAAGACATAAAAAAATAAATACAAAAATAAAACACATTAAATATATCAAAAATATAATATCTAAAAATATATAATATATAATGCATTTAATAAAAATACAAAAATTAAACATGGTCTGTAACACATGGCTTTGAGTAACTTACTGCTTTTGTATAAAAGGAGCAATAGTAATATAATAAAAAACACCAATATTTAATAATAAATAGATAAACAATTGTATTAAATTTAATATTAAAAAATATTAAATGTGTAAATAATAAATTACAATCAAACTGAATCTTCCACCAAATAATATAGTTAATTTACCTAACTGTAGATGATATTAATATATAATTATTAATACAAATCAAATAATGTGCAACTATTTCAGAACTGTACTGAACGTGGCTGATTCTATCAGATTATTATTATTATTTTTTGAATGCTTTTTCCAGTCAAACAGTCCAGCTCAACCTCACTGCAGCCCACCGCATATGTGAAGTAAGCGTACGGCTTGCCTTCCTGCTTCTCCCAGTCCATGTCTAGATCGTGACCTCTGAAAACAGACAAAACTCACTAAGCATAAAACAAAACCTCCATGTTTTGTGTAGTTTTAAGCCTTTGTTTGCTTCTTTGATGATGCACTGAAGATCACACTGTTGACAAACAACTACCACTTTAATGTCTCAAAGTACATTTAAAAAACAAAAACGCTCCTTTTAAATGAAATTTGGGTGATTTACCTGTAGTATCCTGTGGCTGACAGACTGATCTTCTCCAAAAATGCTGTTGTTATCTTTAAAGACATAAAAAAATAAATACAAAAATAAAACACATTAAATATATCAAAAATATAATATCTAAAAATATATAATATATAATGCATTTAATAAAAATAAAAAAATTAAACATGGTCTGTAACACATGGCTTTGAGTAACTTACTGCTTTTGTATAAAAGGAGCAATAGTAATATAATAAAAAACACCAATATTTAATAATAAATAGATAAACAATTGTATTAAATTTAATATTAAAAAATATTAAATGTGTAAATAATAAATTACAATCAAACTGAATCTTCCACCAAATAATATAGTTAATTTACCTAACTGTAGATGATATTAATATATAATTATTAATACAAATCAAATAATGTGCAACTATTTCAGAACTGTACTGAACGTGGCTGATTCTATCAGATTATTATTATTATTTTTTGAATGCTTTTCACATTTTAGAGAACAATCCCCCAACCCAGCAAATCGGAGAGAAAAAAAAAAAATGTACTAATGTATTGATACATATATGCATATATATATATATATATATATATATACCCACAAAGTGTACATATACACCTTCATAAACATAAATCGTTCATACTTGTGTACCTATACAAAAACACATACAGACATCTCTACATATACAGAATCATTAAAAAAAAAAAAAAAAAATTCTTTCCAATACCAATAAATACCCAATTATGGAAAAATAAAATTGTTACGCACTGCTATATTTGATCAAATTAACCACACCACTTAAAGAAGGTGGTTAAATTCAGTTATCATTGGTCACCTTCCAGATATTCAAAGAAGGACTTCCAAATCTGTACGAATCTCTTTGGTTTACCCGCAATCTCATATCTAATCTTTTCCATATGTAACACATTATTGAACTCTGTAAGTCACGTCTCAAATTTAGGTACAAACTCTTTGCTCCACATCAACACAATTGTCTTTTTTGCTATGGTCATCCCATATTGAACTGTCTGGATTTGATTGAAACTATAGTTCTCTATATTATCCTAATATCGCAATGAGAGGGTCATGAGGAAAATCCATCTTAAATACTTTTGAATAGAAACAAAACACCTCAGTCCAAAATGTACAAATTTTTGGGCAAAACCAAAATAAATGAGCCAACAATATAAAAAAAAATATATATATATATATATATAATAAAATAAAGTATAATAAAACATAATTAAAGCAAAATAAAATATATAAAATATCTATACATATAAAAATATATACAGCTCCTTACTCCTACAAGGAATTGGAACAAACTTTTTTGTACATGTTTATCTGCCTGAATCTACCAAATTATTTATTTAAAAAATATATCTACAAAATAAATAAATATATATACATATATTACATAAAATAGTTAAAATGTCTAGCTAATTTATTTAAGGCCATTTTTGTTTCAAAACGATTTCTATGTGTAACTGAGCAGATATAAAACATACTTGTGTAAATGCTGGGTGCTGAGTGGACAAATAAACTTTCATCTCCTTCTCTTCCCCAATTGGAATGACCAGAAAACTCTGTGTTTCCAAGTAGAAATGCTCCTGTCCTCCAATCCGAATCTCTCCTATGAAGCATGTAGAACCATGTTAAAGAACATGAATGAGGTAATCAGAAAGGAAGTGCACAATCTTACCTTCATACACTTGTTCAGCCTCTCTCAAACCCTTTTCCACATCTCCTCGCTCAATCTTTCTCCTAGGTAGGAAGAAAGACTCTTTTTCGATGGCCTCCTGAAAACAAGATCCAAAAGCAGCTCTATAAGAACAGAATATACAGTTAGGTGAGAATAAAAATTAGAGCAGCTAGATCATTTCTTCTCACCTCCACAGTGAAGATGCGATACTGCAGATCTTCATAGCTGATATTCACCGCAGCTGCCCCACGTTTAGCGTGTGCTTTGGAATCGGCAACCACAGCGCAAACCATCTGACCAACACAAGTCACCTGAGGATGCAGAAGAGATTGCAAATTGTGTCTTATTTTGAAGAATTTTAATACACAATTCAAATTCATACTTAAAACAAATACCTTACATAAAAATAACAATAAATAATACACAGACCTCATCTTCAGCCAGCAGTTCTTCATCATATCCTATGAAGGTTCTGAACCTTTTGCCTGGTATGTCTTTAGCAGTGATCATGTCCACCACACCGGGCAGCTTTAGAGCTTCACTAAAGTCAATATGACTGTGACGGTAAGAGAATGCACCCTACAGACCTCATCTTCAGCCAGCAGTTCTTCATCATATCCTATGAAGGTTCTGAACCTTTTGCCTGGTATGTCTTTAGCAGTGATCACGTCCACCACACCGGGCAGCTTTAGAGCTTCACTAAAGTCAATATGACTGTGACGGTAAGAAAATGCAACCATTTAGGTATGAAGTTACTCATTTGTTCCATTGCTGGTTTCAATTTAGTGTCAAAGTAATGAGCAACCATGACTTATTAATTAATAAATAAATGAACATTAATTTCCTTATCAGCAAAGGCTATATTCATGATAAGAAACTAATTAATAAATATTTATTTCTTGATTGCCATATTAGCATTAGTCTACATTTATCACAATAAATAAATAATCATCTCCATATCAGCATGAAATGTTATATTTATGCCATTAAATAAATTAATAAATAAAAATGTTCATTGCCATATCAGTAAAGGCTATGTTCATGACCATATATGTATTTATTAATTTATTTCCACATCATCATTGAATGAATTAATGAATGAAGACATATCATTGACATATCAGTTTTAAAGGCTATATTCATGACAATTAAAAATATTTATTGCCATTTCACCATTGTAGGCTATATTTACGACAACAAATAAATAAAAATGCAATGTCATATCAGCATCAAAAGCTATTTTCATGACAATAAATAAACAAATAAAAAATTTAGAACTCCATGTTTGAGATTTAATTTAATTTGATTTAATTTATTTATTTAGTCATTTAGCAGACGCTTTTATCCAAAGCGACTTGCAAATGAGGACAATAAAAGCAGTCAAAACTTAACAAAAGAGCAACAATATATAAGTGCAAATGACAAGTCTCGGTTAGCCTAACGCAGTACACGTATATATATATATATATATATATATATACACACACACACATACACATACACATATACATATACATATACACACACACACACACATAGTTGTGTTGCATGTTCTGAAAGAAAGGGCCTGATCTGATTTAATTTTCATTGTATTAAATTTGTATGATAAATTAAAAGTAAAAAAAAAAATTGTAATTAAAAATATTTTTTGAATGGTTTTTAAGTTGTTTATGCAAAGTGTCTTACATGATCTTGGCGTGTGGCCTGGAGCTTGTCACGATCACGAGGAAAAGTTCACCGTCAGTTTGCGGTAGGTCATCACAGTATTCGGCCTCTCCTGTAGCTTGACTCAGAGCTGTCCGGTGCATCATGGGTCGGCCCACCGGATCTTGAGCCGACTGACCCTCCAAGACATTCTGCACACATAAAACACACTACCTGATGTTTACCTTCTATAAGTTCAGTGCTTTTGCTTTTTGCTGGCTTTTAATAAAAAAACAGATGCAAACAAGAAATAATAGGTAGAGAAAAAAGAAACAGGTTTTGGAATGTTGCAAGCAGGATTTGAACACAAATTTCCGATTTGAGCACCATGAGACCATGATTTTGCCCATAACAGTATTGGTTCATACCTTTTCCTTCAGGTACTGGAGGACGAGCAGGTTGAATTTAAAAAACAAGCTCAAGGTCAGGGATCTGCGGAAATCCACTTTCCCGCCTGGTGCCGACGGCCCAAGTTTGATCTCATCAACCAGCGTGCTGTACGCATCACTTAACGTCGCCTCCTCCCAAGGTCTTCGAGAAAAAAAAAAAAGTCAAAGCACAAAAACAACGCAAACTATTGCAACTTAAAAAACAATGCAACCTATTATGCAACTTTTACTCCCATCCCAGAGGCAATGCAAAAAAGAAAAAAAAAAAACTATACTAAGCATTACGCAAACTAACTTTTACTCCAATACCAGAGGAGATACAATAAAAAAAAAAAATAAAAAAAAAAACAAAGCATTAGATGACTCAGTTTTTTCTCGTATCCCAGAAGAAATGCAACTCAAAAACCAAAAACAAAAAACAAAGCAAAGTATTACGCAAATTATTAGCCAACTTAACTTTTACTCCATTCCCTCAAAAAACAACGCAACGAATTGGACAATTTAACTTTTGCTCCATTCCCAGAGAAAGTACTGCAAAAAATGCAATTCAAAAAACAACTGAAGTATCACACAATTTAAATTTTACTCCACAAAACATAATTTACTAATACTCTAATTTCATAGGAAACAAAACTTAAACAAATAATAATAATAAATAAATAACAAATTAATTTCATACCTTCCTACAATCTGTTGGCATGCGCGTTCAGCACTGAGGATGGTGGCTCCCACTCCTCCATAATAAATACTGATCTCCTTCACTACATTTGAGTTCTCGTTGAACCAAACGCGCATCCCAGCATTCACCGTAGCTAGTGCGCTCTCCTTACGCGGGGCATGTCGGAAGGCATGGACAATCTCGTTCTGGGGGAAAAAAAAAAAACATGATACTTTTGCAAACAATGTGCAAAGCACTGAAACTAGCCGACGGTTCGTTTCTTACCTGTCTTGTAGCTGGAATAAAAACGGACAACACTATCTCGTCTGGTTTTAGAATTGTCTTTGCAAATCCAAGGAAAAAGTCTTTATCAATTGACACCCTCCTTCGTCCATCTGTAATGGATATTTGGGTAGAAAAGTGAGAAGCCTGTCAGGCAAACATGCTTGAAAAACTGTATGCATGTAAACTAAAAATACACAAAAAAATCTAGAAATATATAAAAACTAATAAAAAAAAATCACAAAAGCACACAAACTAAAACTAAAATTAAGATGAAAACCGAATATATAGAAATCTAATTCAAAATATAAATAAATACTAGTGTATAAATAGAAAATAAACAAATAAATAAATAATTAATAAAAAAAAATAACCTGCCTTCGTGAACAGCAAAATCTGCTCATATGCAAAAACACACATACCCTCTGGTTTTTGTGTAACCTTGAACAGTTCTGGTACTTGTGTTGGTGATATTATTACAGGATGAAAGATACCCTTGAACTTCATATCTAGACCTGTAAAGTAAAGTAAAGTAAAATAAATTTATTCACACATCTGCCAAGGATAAATCCTTATTAAACAACAATGGGGTAAAACATCACAGTGGCTGAAAATGTCAGATCAGCAGACAAAAATTAGAGTTTACTCCATTGGAGTTTATTAGGTTTGGCCTGATATGCCCATATGCAACCTATGTTAGTGTTGCCCAAGACAAGAGGGGCTTGTGGGTAATCAGCCTTCAGCTGGAGCAGCTCATCTAGAGATCCAGGGTTGATCCAGGTCATTCTCTCCCCACAAAACCTCTGAGTGGTTTGGTCCTTGACCTCTGCCAATCTCTAAACACCAAAAAGCAGAATAGACCATGATTACACAACATCCAAAAGTGTTGTTTAGCTGATAACAACATTTGAACTTCAGACAGGCAGCATATCGAAGCCTAAAATAGAATTAATAACAAACTAGAACCGTATGGTGACCTTGTTAAACCTTGTTAGAATTTGCTTAAACATTAAACTTAATTTAAAGGGGTCATATGATGTTGCTAAAAAGAACATTAT